GTAGAGACAGGGTCTCACTTTTGCTCAGGCTGATCTCAAACTCCTGACCTCAAGCAATCCTCCCACCTTGGACACCCAGAGTGCTAGGATTACAGGCATGAGCCACCACGCCTGACCTTGTTTTGTATTTTAATACTTTTTTATATATATTACTTTAGTTGGTGGTTACACATGAAAAAATCAATTGATGGACATTGGGATTTTTTTCTAGTGTTTGGTTGTTATGAATAAAGCTGTTCTCAATAATTTTGTATATATCTTTTGTATTCATTTCTCTTGGATGTATACTCAGCAGTAGAATTGCTAGGTGATAGGGTAGACATATATTTAGCTTTAGTAGATACTGCCAATTTTCCAAGTGGTTTTACCAATTTATTATCCCACCAGCAATGTGTGAGTGTTCCATTTGTTCCACATTCTTGCCAACACTTGATATTGTCCTTTAAAATAATTTTTTGGCCTTTCTGGTGGTTATGTAATGCTAGCTCATTGTGATTTTATATTTCTCTCTTAACTAATGATGTGACTCTTTTCTTACACTAATTGGCCATTTGGATATACTTATGCAGCCCAGTTCTGACTTTTATTAAAGATAAAGATTTCATTAACTCTATTAGTAAGAGATTAGTAACTCTATTAGATAAGAGAAATGATATCTCAAGAAATAGTTTAATAAGCTTAAGGAAGACCAGTAATTTGTTATGTATGATGAAAGTGACAGTAAATAAACACTGTATTTACTATTTGTTATCTAGGTATTGCGTTGATGATGTGGAATACGTTCTTAGTTAAACGTTTTTCTGCTGCTACATACTTAATGGATAAGGTAAAGTAATTTTAAATTTCACATACTGACTTCGTTTCTTTGGTTCCTTTAATTCATTGACTGATACTAGAAAAATTGTTTATGTTGGGCCTTGTTAGACTCTTTTTTATTTTTTTTATTTTTATTTTTGAGATGAGATGGTCTTGCTCAGGCTGGAGTACAGTGATGTCATCATAGCTCACTGCAGCCTCCAGACTCCTGGGCTCAAGTGCTCTTCCCACTTCAGCCTCCCATACTGAGACCAACAGGCACAAGCCACCACATGTGGCAGACTTTTTTGATATTACATTTTATTCATGCTCAGTTCAATGTAATTCCCAGTACTGGCATTTTAATGACATGAAGAAAAGCCCAAAATCCTCAGAAAGATAGTAATATAGTGTAAAACAAAAAAACAAAAAACACCTTAGTGGTTGATTCAAGCAAGGATTTGCATTTTATTTTGAATTAAGACCTGCAAATATACACTTATTAGCTAATCTTTGGATGTAGGGCCAAGATATTTTCTTTAGATGAGGTTGATTGCAGTTCTGCTTTGGTTTTCCTTCATAAACCTCACCCATAAAGCATTGCCTATTATGTCTATATCCTATTTCTTTAAAGTTGTGATACAATCTAAGTCCAAAATCTTTAGATTACTATAATTTATCCGCTAATCTTT